ACTAGTTGTCTAGCTATGATCGGCCAGTGATTTGAACAATAAAGTTCACAAATTTCCACAAAGCCTTATACTAAATATGTTCATTTTTTTACTGACTATTTTCTAAATTGTCTTTTTATCTATCTGACTAGCTTTCCTAATTACTTATTATGTAAATAATAAAAAAAGAGCGTTTTGTTTCGAAAGCAGTTATGGTTTTCGGATACTGTATAAAATCTAAACATGTCATTAGTCTTATTGTTCATTGAGTTATGTGAATCTCTCTACTTCATATTTCATACATCAGTTTATTCTGCATTTATATGAAGTTAATTCGTTTAAATGCTTTAAAATAGAATAAATCAAAAATATATATAGTTTATATATGAACGTTACATAATAGCTGTTAATTAATGAACATAGATTTTTTGATCGAATGATACTGTGATTATTTCATCATTATTATTGTTTCACTTTTAGTTATCATATGTGAATGTATATTTAAAACTTTTAAAGCCAAAAGAAGTGATAGTCAAAAATATACACAACAATTATAAGCTAATATTCATATACGATTGTAAAGGTAATATTTTATCAGTTTATTATAGATATATAGCAAATTACAGAAATTGTAGGTTTATCTTTAGTACAGAACAAAAGTATCTATGTTTTTGTAATGAATGTAAATTTTGAATGAGTTTTTTTTGTGTGTGTGTGTTTCATAAAGTATTCTATAATACATATATCACTACATAGAATCAGACGATGTTAATTTGGCAAAGTATAATTTTGGTCTGTGATATTTTGTTTTCGGTTATCTACTTATTTTAAAATCATTAATAACTTGGTAAAATCCAATTAGAATAATCACAGTATCCGTAGAATTTTGTTTTGAAAAAGAAAACAAATTGGAAGAAGTTGATTATTCACAGACATTCTTGTATAGTTGAATCATTGACTATAGATAGATAGTTATTAGTATGTTATATATTAAGAGAAACAAATCTCAACATAAACCATAGACCATATCCTTTTTTGGTTAAATATTTTCTAATGAATAGTCAGTTTAAGAATAATACTAGATTTCTTTCAAAAGCGATTTCGTTTTCTTTGACTCTGCTTTAAAGTTATATTATCGTGATATTTAACATTATTATGTTTAGGCTGATCATTTAATATCATGATGTAATTATTTGCTCAGTTAGTTTGATCTCAAATTGTTTTATATGAATATATACGATTAGATGTTCTGTTTTACTTTTACATTAAGACAAATAAATTATTCAGATCGTAAAATCTTAATGAAGTGGACACTAGAAATTCGATCAAAAAATCATTCACATTTCACATCATCATATAGTCAACTGTGTTGGCGAATATAATATCCAGTTATTATACTGATCATCAAATCTTAATTTCAAAACTATCAGTAATACTATAGAGCAGAGATGGATAATGACTAGTTGTGAAATCCAAGAGGCACATTTCGTCCTCTTTTATACTCATTAGAAAGATGTAGTTGCATTTCAGCGTCAATATTCAACCTCGAACCCCAAACTAGTACCATTCGTTAACACCAGTATCGTCTTACATAAATTCTTGAAAGATGTTCAAATGCATTGTTTAATGAATACACACAAAGTTAACTAATGATTCCGATACTTCATAATATTTCCATTTTATGTTAATCGACGAAATAATTCACATTAGTTTTCAATACAAATTTACATTATTAATTAAAAACTAAAAATTTTAAATAAATTTGTTCAAAGAAATAATAACGTTTCTTTAATTTGCTAAGAAATATATAAAGACGAAATCCCAGAGGGTGATAATATTGATAGACTATAGGTTTATTTTTATTACCAACATTAGTAATTCAAACAGAGTCTGAGTAGTTGAATATACATATTTATATCAAATAAAGAAGCAATAATCAGATTATTTCATAAATTAGACGAAAGTGGTTATACAGGTAAGTAACAGTTCGATCTGCATTGAAACTTTTCATTTATCAACAAGTATTTATAAGTTTAAAGCCGAAAAATAATTTATAAATTTATATAACTACTACTGAATTTAAAATGTTATTCACTTGAGAGTTATCTAGTGAGTAACATATATTAAAACTTCACAGATAGAAAGCATGAGTCAGACGAAGCTAGACCACCATGAAAAACCTGGAAGCTCTGGACGGCCCCGTGAGGTGCGAGGTCGTGGATGCGCACTGCTGAGGAGTCCTATACTAGGACTAGACGGCCGTCCAGTGCTTCCGGATTTTCCATGGTAGTCTAGCTCCAACTGACTCATGATTTCCATCTGTGAAATTTCTAAAATCTTCACAAACCCCTTCGGACATCTTAAAACATTTAATTATCATGTGTATATAATACGTCTGTCAGTTTATGATAGTAAAAGAATGAATCACAAATGATTGTTCGAGTGAAACACTGAATGCTCGCGATATAAGCAAGTATATTTGAAACCGAAATTGTGACGGCTTCAACAGTATTCGTTTACTGGTTGTTGTTACTATCACACAATGTCTCAAACCATTGGTTGTGAGGATGACACGAACATCAAATCAAGATGTCGGCATCTATTTGCATGACTCAGTGCAGCATTCAACGACTTCACGAACTGATGTCATGTCTTCATTTGTCCAATCCACTATCTTTCACCTAACCTAGTCCGACAACAGACAACATCACTCACCGAGATGCATATTGATTAAGTAAATGCAACACATGTCCAAATCAACTCACTCGATCACGGTTCACCACTTCGCCAACCGATTCTCTATCTTCAGTCAGTGCATTATTCCACATTTCAGTATTGCTATTCAAGTGATTCTATAATACATGATCTATGTTTCGAAAACACACATTATCGAATAGTCCTAGTCTAAGATCATCCCCTCATCTCAACAGTCAGGTTCTACAGCCGTCAAGTAGAAAAGCTTGAACTATTACTCAGAAAACTCGTTTTTCGGTTGACAGATGTACAACTCACCTATGGTACAAGTGATGCAAATAGCAAAAGCCAAACATAGACCTCTGCATACATGATTTTGTCAGAAACCAATCAATCATCACTGATGAGACTATACAGTAAGGTGAGATTATTGGCACACTCATCTACTTCCTTTTCTATCACTAGTTGGTTTTTTAGGGCAAATCAATCGAGAAGTAATATTTTTATTGAGAGGAAGTATAAGACATATCTAACCTAGTTTCATTGTTGCTGAAGGTGATTGCAAGACTCAGTATATTCATCAAAGGCGGTTACATTATACGCGTATTCCGAGTTCATTAGTAAACCTCTTATTTTTGAGATTAATTTCCGAAATGTTAGTCCAATAAAAAGTTATTGCCCAGAGGATGTCGATGACAAATTTAAGTAAGAATGAGAACAGCGGGCATTCCTGACAAACGCTACTTGGTATTGATAATTTTGGTGACAGTTCGTCGCAAACTGCAACTTGATCAGCAGCACCTGTGTTATTACGCTTCTCAATGACATACATTAATGCCTTTTTCGTGTCTGCTATTCATGAGCCCTATATCGGCATTGGAACATAATTTAGACTAATATTTTGGACACGAAATTAGTCAGACTGATTATTGTGTGGTTGGTACAATTGGGTTTTTGCCTATTCCTTACAAACCGGGATGACCAGAGTTTGAGACAATTCAGATAGGATTACGTTAAGTGCCCAGACTCTCGATAACACCTCAACATCTTGGATCGGACCACTTTCATCAACCATTTTGTTGGATGATCCATCTAGATCTGTTGGCCCCCTCGTTTTAGAATGCTGGCAGCATGTTATATTTGTGTCCAACTTTGTATTGGTGTTGAAGTTATTAGGTTAGAAAATGTCTTTATTCGCGATATGTGAACTTGATAAAAAAATTGCAGAAGACGTTCACTATTATCTACATTCAATTTCGATTATGGTTAATTTCTTTTGAGCACTTTTATAAACTTCCTTAACAGACAATGTTATTCAAACGGGAACAATTCGCATATTTCTTTGTTCTATTATGATCACTATCTTGTCTGTATTAACGTGTACGCTTGACTATATGACAGCCTACGCACACCTCTCTAGCTTAAATCTTGATAGCTTAAATATATCGTTCGATAAATCATTCTCTTCCCAATGTATATATACACACCAGTTCAATTTTTAGCCTTTGGTTCGCCTTGCTGTGCCCTTATGCGATTTGTCTATAAATTTGCCACTGTATTCGCTAGCCTACTTATTCGCCTCTGCTTCACATTCGCTCGATGTGCTTGTAGCTTTGTGATACGTGCTATCCGCAAATAAACTGTAGTCGCCGCTTCTTATTACCTTTTGATTTCAAACACTATTGGGATTTATATAATAACGGTTATCAAAGTGATTGATTAACGAAACTAACCCATTACAAGCTTGAAATAAATAAGACACACGAGTGTGTTTTTCATTCTGATTACTACATTTGAAACCTTGATTTCCTAAAAGGGGTTATGAAATTTCCTGTGTAACTCATCTTCTACTCCATTCGAACTTTGGTAAGTAAGATCATAGTCAAAAACGATGAAGACACAATAACTTCTTACTGTGGTACTTGAATAGGGATCATTACATATTTTGATAGATTTCTTTTAAATCAGTTGATTTCATGATTATTACTTCAGAATTGTTTAACCCTATTATTATTTACAGTGTTTAAATGTATTCATAGTTCATTTAGTTGAATATGAAATGATTCTATTTAAAAAAGTCGATATTCATTATCAAATAACATACATTGAATAGTTCTTTGAAAAACTAGAAACAATTCATCAGAAGTTATTCTTATTTAATAAAATCATCTTATATATATATATATATATATATATATATATATATATATATATATATATATATATATATATATATATATATATATATATATATATATATATCATTCAAGCATATAAATAACGTATACATTAATTACACTAAGCTACAATGATAGAATAAAAATTGGTATATTTCAATAACTAATTTAATAGTTTTGAAATAGTTAATACAATATCTTGTACAATACAATACATTGTTGTATTCTGAATAGGCGTATTAAAACAATAAGGGATTCTATTTTATTTATTTTCATGACGTATAGCTTGTATATATTCTTCATATGTAATATTATTATCAAAATTTAAATCGAGCTTTTCTATAAGTTTCTACAAAATAATTGGAAGAATTCAGTTAATTATATACATATTCACATTTTGATAAAAGATTGATCTCATTCAACGGGTACGAGAGATATATTAACTGTGAATCGGTAAAGATAGTCTCTTTTCAAATATAAACATTTTAACATGGATATACTTTTGTAAATATTTTGAATTATAATAATTTATCATAGTCATTTCAGTAGTTTTGATTCGACAGAAACGGATCTACTATTGAAATAAGTCAATGTGACAATGAGTGACATTCGTTTCAGTTGCACGATAAGAATTGGCCACTACCGTTGTTAAATCGCAGCTTGAAGTTATCAGTATTCAATGACAGTTTGAAAATAAACATGAAGCTTTCTTTCACGTTAAAGATAAGCAAATTCGTTTTATTGTGATGTGTATTTCATCCGTTTCTTAAAGTAATATACTTTGTATTACCAAGTCAGTCAAACCAATGTATCAAATGAGGTTAACGTACTAATCAAGGGGTAAGGAAGAACAAAATTTAAGGGTCAGATAATAGTCCGATTGACAGATATGAAGAAAAACGACAAAACAACAAAGGTAATAATAATAAACTGAATGATAATCAAGAAAACTTGTAAAAGGTAATAATAATAAATGATTAGAGTTTAAAGTGCAAAATAATGATGGACTATTATCTGACCCATAAATTTTGTTCTTCCTTACCCCATGATTAATACGTTAACCTCATTTGTTATTTATTGTCGAATCCATTCTATCCTTCTATAGACATACATTTTCCATATAACTATATGTACGAATGTACAGTTTAGGTAAATGATTTCGTCGAAAAGAAAATTTTCTTCGCTGAACTCTCTTTTTCTTATTCAATGATACTATGGGTTATTTTAATTATATATCAAATGATGTTTATAAAGGGTTTGGATTCTTATCAAACAATAATTGTAAAAATATAAATGTTTGCTAAATAAGTCTAAATGGACTGAACTAAGGATTAAATATAGTATCTACTCAGTAGCTAAAATAAATCAACTATTCTCTGTTTGGTATCATTTGAAAAGTTTGATGAATGTATTCATACACATATATGATAACCATAAAAATAATAATAATTGCATAATTATATTTTTAAAAAACTTACATTTACTGCGTTTTCTGTAGCTCCTGATGATCGTAATCCTTGTTTTAATTCTTCTATTGAGAGTATACCATCACCATTTTTATCCAGTCTAGAGAACAAATTCAATAATATTTGTTCGGACATTTCTTGTTTTTGTTATATCTAACGATAAATAAAATAATTTAACAAATAAAAGGATGATTAGCATATTTGTATAAATTTATTGAAAATTAAAACTAAATACTTTGGCATATTTGAGACGTGATCACATTAGGTACTGAATATGTAGAGTTCAGCTTCTGGCTACTAAAGTACTACGTCGTACTACATTCGTAAATAGTTACATGGATATACATTTTCCATATACGAATGTACAGTATAAGTAAATGATTTCGTTGAAAAGAAAATTTTTTTCGCTGAATTCTCTTTTCCATATTCAATAATAGGTGATAATAATATCCCATACCAGTAATACTTATCTGTGTTGGTGCCATGCTCTCAGACTAGTGATAGAAAAACTTTGTAATTTCTCATAATTCTTTGATTTAATCTTGTAAATCACGTATTAGTTTAACATTAATCTAAGATGCACTAAAATTTTAAATGAATAAATAACCCTTAGTTATTTTAATTATCACTGATTAGTTTACAATGATCAAAATTTTAAAATCTTGGTCAATCATTCCGTATTCAAGCAAAATAATCGTTAAGCGAATTCTTATTATAATTTTATCATAAATAGATATGAAAATCAAACAATCATTATTTCACTAAATGAAATTATGAGTCAATTGAAGCTAGATCACCATGGAAAACCTAGAAGCATTGAACAACCATTTCGTCCTAGTATGAAACTCCTCAGAGATGCGCATCCACGACCCCGCCCCGCGCAAGATTTGAACTGAGAACCTATCAGTATCGCACGCGAACGCCTAAACATTAGACCACTGAGCCGGCATCATTATGTCAAAACGTCGAAGTACACAACTCAAGACTATCAACACTGCACAACTTTCACCATTCAATTTTCGTTTAAGTCGATCTTTTTTTAACTGAACAGAAGAAACTTCAGATGAGTCAAATAATATCACATAAATAACATTCTACTAACATGATTATAACTGACGTTAAAATGAATGTTTATACACTTTTATTTAGATTGCATAAATGAAAAATAAGACTGTGTAAAGCTCAAATGTTACGTTTCTTTCCATTTTATATTGAGTACAGTACTCTAAAGCATTAACTGACAATTCATAGTTATAGTACACAAAGTTGATGTATGATAATCCACAATTGAAAGAATATATGCCCCAAAATGCCTTAGTGCGGCCGACAGTTAGGACAGTCAACTCTCCCTCTCGAAATGCTCTCACATTGCCGCGTGCAAACAATCACTGCCAGGGAACTTCTACTCACTGCCCTCTCAAGACGGGGGTGTTGTTTACAAAATTGAGAGGATGAAAAGCAAATGTCCGGCTCATTAAATGAGTTGGTGGATATGGAAGATCCACAAAAGGTTGTTGGTAAACACTGATTCCAAACCAATGGTGCACAAGGGCTCCAGGATCATAAGGAAACAAATGGCGCATGAAGCAATCGTTGGTCACCGGATACCATGAGACTGCATTTCCTTACGTTGTTGCACTGCTTTATGGATTAGACCTTTAGGTCGAAGGCTCCTGGTGTGGTCCTCTACGAACACCACCTGCTTCAGCTTGAGCACCCTGGCAGTATCCTAGCCCTCACACAAATCGAATAATTTATGTGGAGCATATCTATTTGGTACTTTCTTATACCTATGTTTATGTGTTTAAATTAATGAATAAAGGAAGGATATATAAATTATCAAGCTTAGATTAATTTCAAAGTACTCACTTAATGTTTCTAAACAATTAGAAAATCATATTTAACTCAGTATTTCGTATTAATTTATAGTATTTCAACTACGTGTCAACAATTTTCTGATGACCTGGTAGTTTCTAATTGGTTTCTTATCACTTCTGTATTTATTTCTCATAAATTAAAAATAGTAAATTCACCTTCAAAGTCTATAGATAAGAATAATTGATAATTAGTAGACTTATTTTATTCGGATGACCTACCGTCTATCCTTAATTACACAAGTTGAAATCATGAGTCAGTTGAAGCTAGACCACCATTGAAAACCTGGAAGCACTGGACGGCCGTTTCGTCCTAGTATGGGACTCCTCAGCAGTGCGTATCCACGACCCCGCACCACCCGGGGCTCGAACCCAGGACCTACTGGCTTCGCGCGCGAGCACTTAACCATTAGACCACTGAGCCGGCATTCAACGGTGTTAATGTCTAACTTCAACCAATCCACGAAGTTGCGCTACCGTACACCATTGTCCTCAGTGAGTTCCTATCTCACAACAGACCTGGTTGAACTCCACTGGTAACGACTTCTCACTAGAACTCCAGAAGTGTCTCCTGAAGTCAGTCACTAGTGAGCAGGTGATTATTATTATCAGAATGGGTTTTTTGTGGAGATTTTAGAAATTTCACAAGTTGAAATCATCCTTAATTAATCACCAAAATGTTTATCTATATTTTTTTCTGATAAAAATTCATACATTTGAAAGTATATGAATATATATGTAATATTATTTTGAAACCATGAATCATAATTATACATCCCGTGTACGGGATTGTGGATGCGCAATACTGAGGAGTCCCATACTTGGACGAAACAACAGATTAACAGCTCCAGGTTTTCAATGGTGGTCTAATATTGATCGATGCATGATCTTAATCGAAAACTTTATACATGTATTTTTACTGAAGGATTAAATTAATGAATATATACACATGAAAGTATTCGATATAAAACTTATGTTTGTAATAATCTCACTGACTGAACTTAAAATTTCAATCTTTACTAAAATTTATCATATACCTACCAAACGTTTTTTTCAAATTTTGGGTGAATATTCATAGCTCAAGATTACTTTAGCTACTGTATTTGCCTTACCTTCTAAGACAACAATTAGTTTTAGGAAATTGGTAAGTAGGCTTAATGGATTTATCAAACAATATTTTTGATTTTGTCTTATGTCAAAGATCTATTTTATTAAACAAACTTACGTTGTGTTATTATAACGATTACAAATCCTTCACCTTACCCCTCTATATCCTGTAATGGAACTAGTCATTAGTAAGCCAGAATTCATGAATGTAAGATAGACTATGAAGGCAGAAAACGGACCCATATTGAACACAGTCTTTGTAGCGTTTCCGTCCCTTTTGATGAGTTTCTAACAGCTACTGAAGGCTTCTAACCCCTCTACTATTATGGAGAATAATAATTTATTTTTCGGTTCATCTACAACGTTATAGCAGGTTCATTGTGACGCCCTGTCTTTATGTGTTATAATCATTCATCTCTAAACTCATCTATTTCTTTGACTTTTGTCGTTGATTGAGATTGCTTGAAACGTCTTCATAAATATATCGAACGGGCATTTAATAGCATTGTTTTCTGTGTTCATTATTATTTTATCGTTTTCATGCCTCATCCAAGTTCGAAATGCAGTATATATATATATATATATATATATATATATATATATATATATATATATATATATATATATATATATATATGCGTAACTTTCTCTTGGCGCTTCATTGGTTTACGAATATCATTTAAGCATTTCTTACAAGCATAATTTGCTCAAGGATTTTTCCCACCCTCCCCTTTATCAAAACCTGTTTAAAAATGCCTATTCTTCATGGCTTTTTGATCATGGGTTTTAGAGAAAGGACTCAACTCAAGGTTATTAATAGTCAATAAAGTCTCTGAAACTTAAAAATATGTGAACAAATTAGTTAACTTACTGATCAATGTTTCGTTTATCTGATCCAGAACTAGTTATGTTTATATGTACAAACTAGTAAATCACAAACCGTGAGGTAGGGTTGAATAATAAAATAACTGTTAAATGTTTTAAGGTTTCATCTCAGATGTGTTGTAGTTTACTAGTTAGCATATATAATTTGAAGTGAAAAGTTAACGAGAACTTCTTAGTTCATCTATTCTTACACGTTGTTTACAGTCTTGTCATTCGATGTACGGAAAATGTATGGCTCATACATGACTCTACACTTTTATGAATTTTGTAAACCTTTGGACATAAATAATCAAGAAAAAAGGTTATTTACGTTATTCACGTACTCAAAATAATCCAAAATAAATTATTCTCCGAAGTGCTGGTTATATAATAATAAACGATTTTGAGACTTATTTGATTTGAATCGTTCCAATTCACTTGTGACTTAAAAGCATTTCTATGAAATCAAAAACTGTACAAAATGTTCATCAGCATCAAATCTCCACAAACGCGATCAAATTTCGAAATACTAGATAACTTCCTTCACCCAATCGATCTCAACACAATCGATTTGCTTATTTTAATAAACGATGTTATTTGTATATTGGTTGTTTGAATCTTCCTATTGATGTTTAGGACCACAATTGATCAATCTTTTATTGGCATATATACATCCTGTACGGATGTATTCGATATTACCTTAAATCACAATCATTCTGCTGCTAGCCACCACCAGTCTCTGCTTATGAGTTATTTTTTATTTCTCGTCTACGCCAAAGTAAAAAAAAATCCATTTTTGTTTTCTTGTATCGAACATTGCTATTTAATTCACATCACTAGAAGTACTATCATCAAGTTTCTGAAAAACAGTGATTCATGTGAAATTTCCTCAAAATAAATATTCTGAAGCTGTGACCTGATAAATCATCGTTAATGTTGATAGAGATATTTTCATCATGAGATTTCAACATAGCACATTTATAAATTGAGATTCTAAGTTTTATTGAGTGTAAAATCGTAACTGTGCACCACTATGAAGTCGTATGATTTGGCGTCAAATTCATTGGTTAAACTCTGGATTCCAAAGACTTGTAGCGTGATATCAGTATGTGTTTGATATTAAAAATTAAACATCAAGTTTATAATTACCAGTGTGCTATTGTACCTTATTCACCAGTGATAATTTAATCGTAACATTTATGTATTTATTAAAAGTTTTAAATCATTTTGTTAGATAGGAAATAGTTTGGCGCCGTTTAAAGTACAATTCATTTGACAATTAAGGAAAATATATTTGAGCTTAAAAATAAAATAATTATAATCGACTCATATGTGTTCCATAAATTTTATATTGTTGTTTAACAATTTCAACAATTCTGAAGGTAACAAAACATAAGAAAAAACTACTTTTTTGGAGTTACATGGAAAAACAATGGAGTGTTCATTTTCCCCATTTTTATTTAGCTTTATCATCGACCTGAGTCCTGGATTCCACTGCTAGCCACCGTCCATCATTGTTGATAATGCTTGTGAATTAAAGTAAGATCGAGACAATCCGGACAGGATGTTTATTTGATTATTGTCCAGAAATGTTTACAATTATGTATCAAATAGTTTTTTTTTCTATTACGCAACATAGTCATAGTATATAATAGTACAGAATCAAACAGATTGATTTTACCGAAACGTGAATAATAAGTTATAAGACTAATTTTAAAACAGAAACTTTTATCATTACAGGGAAGACAATAATAAGTGTTGAAATGATGATAGTATTCATATTAGAACGAAAAGCTTTTAATACATATATGCACACTGTTGAGGAGTTTCACACCAGGACGAAACAGCCGTCCAGTACTTCCAGGTTTTCTATGGTGGTCTAGTTTCAATTGACTCATGAACTCAATTATTAAAATACTATAATATCCACAAAAACCTTTTTCTGATATTGTAAATATAATTATCAAGTTCTTTTATGCATTTTTCTAATGATATTCTTTTATTGGCAATGAAAATAGAGTATTCTTACTGAGAAATATAGATAACAAAAAGTGTACAATGTTTGTAGACTGTTAAATCTTCTAACCGAACGCTTGAATTGCTTTCTTAAGCTGTTCTATAACTTACAGGCTAAATCTAAAAGACAACTTAAATACGAGAATGAGGGCTCGAAATATGGAAAGAACGCTTTACTCCAAGGTTAGATTGTGTGCAAAAACTTTAGGGTATTTATAGCATTTCACACGACCTTGGGCTTCCGGAAAGTTTTGGAGCGTTGCAAAACATAGTAACATGATAGGCTGCAATCTCATCAGACTCCTTACATACTAGATGTTTCTGCGAAACTTCTATTCAATGTCGACTGGATAAAATGTTTTCTATCTTTCCCATAGCTTTTTTCGAGGAATATTCTGAATCTCTGGGACATAACCATAATATAGATTTTGGAAGATAAGAAAGTGGTCATTAGACCCAGCAAGATTAACGCTTAACAACGCCAATGTAATATAGGTATGGTGAGTAAACATTATAGTGATGTGAGATGATGGAGAAGATTTGTAGCTCAGGTGGATGATTTTAGTAGAGTTTTGTTCTCTGAGATGGATGGTTTGGTCGTTGAGATTTCATCGTTCTTCTGAACGCCATCATCAGCACAAACTTCAGATAGAAGTGAAGTGTTCGAATTTCTCCATATGTGTTTCACAGATTGTTATGTGTACCTCGATGTTGATTGGTTCTTATTGAACTCGTATTGGTTTGATTTTTGTTCCTAAATTTATGCATGCTTTTTTCTGATTGATTGATAAATTGGACTGATTTCAATATGTTTGTTGATTGCTGAATAACCTGAATGCCAGGCTTCTAAAAATTCTCTGGCGTTTTTGGAGTTTCCTCTGTCTAAAATTTCCACATTTTTCCAATCGAATGAGTGTCCGTAGTTATCCACGTGTATTGATAAGTGAAGAGATATCATGGCGTTTGACTGCTAATTGATGTTCATGTAGGCGAAGGTGGAGGAGACATCCGCTTTGTCCGATGTAGTGTTTGTCGCAGTTGGTACAATTTGTTTTGTAGATGATGTTTGATTTGTTTTCCTTTGTTATTTCATCCTTTGGTTTGCATAGGATTGATTGTAGTGATTTTGTCGGTTTGTGTGCCACACCTATCACAAAGGTTTTCAGCAATCTCGTTGCGGTTTCTGATATTCCCTGTATGTACGGTAGGGTAGATATATATATCTACATCAGATATTATTTGAATTAGTGTAAGTAGATGTGTTATCCTTGTATTGAGTTTGGACAAAATATGCTGTTCATTAGGAGTCATTCTGAATAACGATAAAAATTGTTATGAAAAATTATTTATCAACCTTAGCCAATTATTAGCTATATTTTCAAATACTAGAATCGTCAGTCAGTCAGCAACAACGTAGAAGTTCGTACATACATACATCAGTTTGAGTTGCCATACCACATTAGCGCAGAAATACAGTTGTCTATTCAAATCCCATAGTAGTAGAGGTAGCAAAAGTAGGGGATTTGAAGATGTTACTCAAGGAGTATAATCCAGTGAAATAAATTTGGAAACAGGAATAAAGGGACATGAAGAATTCAAAAGATTAGAATTTAGAAGAACACAAGGAGTGGATGTACCTGCACGATTGCAAATAATCATACAAGTTGATCAAACAAAATGTAATTTACTATCTACAGATATTCACTGAAAACATGCTTTTATACCATAATATAAAATTCCGCTCGAGAGAGAATAACATAACAGTTAACAATATCTCATCGGATAAAATATTTATCAACTTCTGTTTTAAAAATAAAAAGAAGGATTAATTTTTTACAAAAAACAATATCTTGGCATATTTATAAAATTTTATTAAAAAAATATAAAAAAATTCATCATCTAGCCAAATAAATAATGGTCTAATTATGATGACTATCATTCTAAGGAATTTAACGGTTTCTTTGTTTACATAAAAGGAATACTGATATCTTAGAAACTAAATAATTTGTATCTATGTGTCTACTGAAATACTAACATATTTAGCATAATTTTGAAATGATGAAGATGGTTCGTAACTCAGGTAGATACTTCCGGTGATATTGTGGTAGATAGTTGAATTGCCACGTCTTTACTGCTGTTATAGACAGTAGTGTGTCAGCTCCATCTTTGCGTACAAGTGATCTTTTCTGTTAGTTTACAATCATTGTGCTAATTCATTCTGATGGCCTTGTTTGTGATGGGTTGTCTTTCTAGCTTTTGTTGTATTATATAATAGTTTTGTTGTAAACTAATGTCAAGAATTCTTAAACTAAGGTATGGTGCTTCCTAAAAACTTGCATTAAGATGCATCCAGATCATTTTTGTGTCTTATGTGCTATTAATTAAGAATTATATTGTGTCAATGGTTCATCTTATATATTTTGAGAAACTGATATAAAACCTTTAACGATCATTAAGTGGTTAGGTCGTTTGTTTTATTTATTCTTTAGTAAGTAACTAGTTTATGTGGCATTTATAAAATATAAAAATAAAAGTACTACCAAAACATTTCTGAAGTTCACATAATAATAGGTGATGTACGACTTTTACCATAAGTACATCTCACCAGCTAGTTTAACCAGCTGCTGAAAACATGTATGGTGTGGTTTATGTTTTATTTGCTAAAAAATCTATCCGCTGGTATGAAGATGTTCTTTTCTGTAACCATGCCGACGAATGACAGATCTTCTACCGGAATAAATATGGGGAATGTAATTCAATTCATGAAGGAAATAATATAATGAATAACATTAAAAACATTATCGTATATATCTATTTTTATTTAGGTGATGCAGGAAATTAGTGAGACACATTTCCATCGTTAGTTACTATTGATTCCAATCGCTATTTCATATTCCGAAAATGTAACTTTTCCATCACCGTTTAGATCCAAACGATCCATTATTTTCTAAAATAGCAAAATAAAGGTAAATATGTATTGGTAATCGTTATCATAATTCATTTCAATGTTTGCAACGGTATACGTCTCTTTAAAATTGAAATATATCCTCAAATATGGTTCTTATAATGGTCAAGCTATTAAAAATATGTAGAATTGGAAAGTTGTTTTTTCCTGATCTTGAATACTGTATCATTGTTTGCTAATATACCCACCAAAACTTAACAAAATGTGTAGCCTTAGCGGAGGAGAATCGAAGACAGTGTTATCTCCTTGAATCACGAAGGATTTAGTTTTTAAATCACTAACGATCTCATTACACACTAGAAACGTTCTTAGAGCGAAGTAAAATGGTGCTCAGTACTCCATGGTTTCCTAAGATCTGCGGAAGAAGATATTTTCTTTGAATGGGAACGACATGTTTCAGTCACTACACCAGATACTTTGGGGTTATAGACAACAGCCTGTTATGATCTATTTTAGATTTTTCTCGTTAATCAATAAAACAACCTGGCAAACTTTACTTACACACTGATGTGATTTTATGAGAATCCTATCCAGGTTTGTTGTACTTTTTATTCATAATGAACATGAACAGAAGTTTAGCAATCAATCAACTTTATGAAAATGATTTACAGAAATCCGTGAGAAATGCTTCTAAATTGTGCTCGATTTCTCTCTTTCTGATTCTTATGTGTTTTGATTAATCATAAAAGAATACTTCCGGATTTGAAAATCAGCTTATGTTTAGATCGAATGTGCCGCTAAATACATCGACCTATAAAGTCTGACACATAGATGTTACCCGATCATATCTGTTACCTGGTCAAAAAGGGTAGCACTTGAATACCATAATGATTCATTTGAGATAGATTAGCTGAAACATTTGTTCCTTTGGGTTCTATCATCCCAGGCAAGTCGTTTGGAGAATAATAAGACAAAAACCAGCAACTAATGTTCTGAGGGAAAAGTCTCATTGCTGACTGTACTGGGTTGTGATAGCAGTGGGGTGTTTCTCTCAGATAATCGCTATCTGTAGCAATGTTGTCTTCTCACAGCTGAATAAAATGGTTAGAAAACGTCGAACTTGAAAACATCATATATCACCATATTTCAAAGCTATACTCATAACTTTATTACCATAAGTGATCTCCTCGTTCATAATCCAATCACCTCATCAGCTTTTAGAATTTCTACTGACCCCCCCTGTTATTATTTCTTGTATCCCTATGGACACTTATGCTAACTATTACAGTTTCCCTACTTACTTACTTAGGCTTGTTATTTCTAGTGGAGGAGCATAGGCCGCTCACCAGCATTCTGCATCCAACTCTTTCCTGGGTAATCCTTTCCAGTTGCCATTCATCCTATTCATGTGTACTTCCAATTCTTGACGCAATGTTTTTTGGCCTTCCACTTTGCCTTTTCACTTCAGGATTCCAATCGAGAGCTTGCTTCGTCATTCAGTTTGGTAATTTAATGTATGTTCTATCCACTTCCGACGTCTTTTCCTGATTTCCTCTTCAGAGGTAAGCTGGTTTGTCCTCTCCTAAAGAAGGCTGTTGCTGAAGGTATCCGGTCAACAGACATTCAGTATCTTGTATAGACAATAGTTTATAAATACCTGCAACTTTTTGGTGATAATTGTAGCAATGTGGTATGTAACGGTGGTCAGGCATAGAATGTATTTCAGTAGAAGATTGATAAGGAAAGAACGAAAACGGAACACAATTGGTATGAAAATACATGAACGATGAAATCTGAGGCAATAGACTGATATTTCAAAAAGGAACAGTGAAGTTTGAGACGATGGATTAATATTTTGCAAATTAACTACTTACTATATGGTTCTCAGATTTTAGTGAGAACCTCTGTAAATAAGTCCGACTGTCCCCATTCTTTTTCTGAAAGCCAAAAGCTCCGTACAGTAGAACTGTCTTCATGTTCATATAGATCCCGACTTTGATATTGGTTGACAATTGTTTTGAGTTCCATATTATCTTCATTTGTACGGATGCTACCCGTGTTTTGCCAATCCTCGCATTTACGTCTGCAGCCGATCCTAATTGTTCATCAATTATGCTTTCCAGAAACGTGAATGTTTCCACATCTTCCAGAGTTTCTCCATCAAGTGCGATTGAGTTGGTGTTCTCCGTGTTGTATTTAAGGATCTTACTTTTTCCTTCGTGTATAATGAGGCCTACTGATGCAGAGGCTGCTATTAAACTAGTTGTCTTCATCTTTATTTGTTCGTGTGATCTGCGAAGTCAAAACCTTCTAATTGATTCTGAGCTGTCGATTGTATTCCGTGCTTTCCATCGGATATCGAGGTCTTCACAGTCCAGTCAACCACTAGGAGAAAGAGACAGTACGCAGCCTTGTCTGACTTCAGTCCTTACTTGGAGTGCGTCTGTCAGCTATCCTCCATGAACGACTTTGCAGTGTAGTTCGTTATATGAATTCCTTATGATGTTGACAATCATCTCAGATACTCCATAGTGTCAAAGACGTTTCCAGTAATATTTACCTATCCACACTCTCAAATGTTTCTCATAATCAAGGACGTTGATGTATGGTGACGAGTTCCACTCAACTGATTGTTAGAGGATGATCCGCAGTGTCGCACTTTGGTTTGTGCACGACCGAACCTTATGGAATCCGGTCCGTTGATCAGGATGTTGTGAGTCGACTGAACTTTTCATCCGGTTCCTCAACACTCTATCGAAAACCTTTCCTGATACTGACAGTAGTGGGATGACTCTGTAGTTCTCACATTTGCTCAGATCTCCTTTATTTTGTATCTTGATGAGGTATCCGTCTTTCCAGTCCGTCGGCACATGTTCTTCCGTCCAAATCTTCTTGAAGCATTTTCGCAGTTATTTCTGACTTCCGTGTTTCAGCTGGTATAAACTAATATAGTTTACTAAATAATATCCTAGGTCTGTTGAAAACGCATTCTAAATATTGAGTCTTAATTTTTGAGTCTCATTTTGAACAAGACTATAGAACTTCTCACTCTCATTCAAATATCTAAATGTTCAGATGTAGTGGTATTGGTAAGTGTTATTGTTCGAGTAGCCAGTTTAAACTCAAATGAAATTGACGTTTCAGACCTCGATCTAGATGTGTTGTCTATATTCTGAAACCTGGAAATACTTTTCGACGTTCGAGGGTAATTTTATTCCGTGACTATACGACAACAGTTGACTCTGCTGACAGATAGATTCCGTGATAGTGTTTTTCATCAAAAACCATACCAAAAAGTGTACCAGCCATGTACACAGTTTCTGCTTGAGAGCTACTGGTCAAGAAAGACTTTGTGGTGAATTGTCGTCAAAACGTTTGACCTCATTTAGTGCTCGACAAGGTTGTTCATATAATACATTTTTCTTCAGCTTCATAATAAAAATTATCTTAAAGATAACACATTCATCGTCTGACTTTTCAGATTTTGACCACCTACTAGGAAATTCACATCCTGGCCTAAGATACACAAATGATATCATCCTATTTGATGAACACTGAAAAGTACTGAGTTTTCCAATCACCTTCAGCAACAATGAAACTAGGTTAGATATGTCTTACACTTCCTCTCAATAAAAATATTACTTCTCGATTGATTTGCACTAACAAACTAACTAGTGATTTATCAAGTCCACATATCGCGAAGAAAGACATTTTCTAACCTAATAACTTCAACACCAATACAAAGTTGGACACAAATATAACATGCTGCCAGCATTCTAAAACGAGGGGGCCAACAGATCTAGATGGATCATCCAACAAAATGGTTGGTGAAAGTGGTCCGATCCAAGTTGTTGAGGTGTTATCGAGAGTCTGGGCACTTAACGTAATCCTATCTGAATTGTCTCAAACTCTGGTCATCCCGGTTTGTAATAAATAGGCAAAAACCCAATTGTACCAACCACACAATAATCAGTCTGACTAATTTCGTGTCCAAAATATTAGTCTAAATTATGTTCCAATGCCAATATAGGGCTCATGAATAGCAGACACGAAAAAGGCATTAATGTATGTCATTGAGAAGCGTAACAACACAGGTGCTGCTGATCAAGTTGCAGTTTGCGACGAAATGTCACCAAAATTATCAATACCAAGTAGCGTTTGTCAGGAATGCCCGCTGTTCCCATTTTTACTTAAATTTGTCATCGATAACCTCTGGGCAATAATTTTTTACTGGACTAACATTTCGGAAATTATTCTCAAAAATAAGAGGTTTACTAATGGACTCGGAATACGCGTATAATGTAACCACCTTTGATGAATATACTGAGTCTTGCAATCACCTTCAGCAACAATGAAACTAGGTTAGATATGTCTTATACTTCCTCTCAATAAAAATATTACTTCTCGATCGATTTGCCCTAAAAAACTAACTAGTGATAGAAAAGGAAGTAGATGAGTGTGCCAATAATCTCACCTTACTGTATAGTCTCATCAGTGATGATTGATTGGTTTCTGACAAAATCATGTATGCAGAGGTCTATGTTTGGCTTTTGCTATTTGCATCACTTGTACCATAGGTGAGTTGTACATCTGTCAACCGAAAAACGAGTTTTCTGAGTATCAGTTCAAGCTTTTCTACTTGACGGCTGTAGAACCTGACTGTTGAGATGAGGGGATGATCTTAGACTAGGACTATTCGATAATGTGTGTTTTCGAAACATCGATCATGTCATATAGAACCACTTGAATAGCAATACTGAAATGTGGAATAATGCACTGACTGAAGATAGAGAATCGGTTGGCGAAGTGGTGAACCGTGATCGAGTGAGTTGATTTGGACATGTGTTGCATTTACTTAATGAATATGCATCTCGGTGAGTGATGTTGTCTGTTGTCGGACTAGGTTAGGTGAAAGATAGTGGATTGGACAAATGAAGACATGACATCAGTTCGTGAAGTCGTTGACTGATGCACTGAGTCATGTAAATAGATGCCGACATCTTGATTTGATGTTCGTGTCATCCTCACAACCAATGGTTTGAGACATTGTGTGATAGTAACAACAACCAGTAAACGAATACTGTTGAAGCCATCACAATTTCGGTTTCAAATATACTTGCTTATATCGCGAGCATTCAGTGTTTCACTCGAACAATCATTTGTGATTCATTCTTTTACTTTGCTTTTTCCATAGTATTTATATGAATTTATAAATTACTTTTCTGCTTTAAACTTTCAAACATTTGTGCATAAATGAAAAGTTTCAATGCAGATCGAACTGTTACTTACCTGTATAACATTTCGGGAAACCCCAGCTTTACTTAATCCTGAATATAATTCATCACATGAAATAATTCCATCACCACTTTCATCTAATTTATGAAATAATCTGATCAATTGTTCCTTATTCGACATTGTATTTATTGGTGATCTCTGTGGTTTGCATAAGGATATAAAATCAGAAAGATTAAGAGAATTAGATATAATACAATTATTCAAATATAACTCCGTATTCAGCATGCTTGAAAAATTTACATGTATATTAGGAAAAAAACAGACATTAAGAAGTTCATGTAAAGTTACTCTAAGATCTGACAATATCAGAGAAGAATAACGATAATTGAGCGAAAAAATATTTCTTTTCAGTAAATTCATTTGCTTAAACGTTACAGTAGCATTGATATTTTTTTTAAAATTTACTAAATAAAATTGACTATTATCATATTGACAGATCAACAGTTTTATCCAAGAACATCTAGTTAGTTTTGATCACTCTTCATCAGGAGAATCCTTTTTGTAAATGGTCCTTACAGTTCAGAGATTCTGTTCAAAATGAACACAAATTAATAATTTGTGTATAGTAGAGGCTCTAGTTATCTACCATTTGAAGCCTAAACTTTGTGTACAAAAAGAGTTTGTCTAATCCTTCATTCTACAGTGGCCTTAATCTTACTTTCTATCTTCCAAATACTTTTTATAATTATTAACTAGTCGTTGTTACAACATCCGATTCTTATATTCTTAATATTTTCACTCACTCATAAACTATTTTCATTTAAAAATTTTCATTAACTATTCAATTAATATCTCTTAACAATTCATGACACGATACCACTTCCTTTTTTATTATTCACTATTGTTTTATTTAACTAGAGTTTACTATTTATAACAACTGAATTAAGGAAAGATACGATTATACAGCTTAACTAATTGAAACCGTCTACAAGAATATTTTGGTAGCTAATTCATGTTTATTCTTCTTTAATGACAATGTATTTATATTGTTATTTCAACTGATATCAGTTGGAGAATCGTTGAAATTTAGGCGCCAGTGAACCTATAATTTTTGTTAGTTTCGAACTCTATAGGATATTAATTGCTTTCATTTTCATTAACTAAATTATAATCTTTAAAGTTCTGACATATTTGTCTATTAAAATTTTTTACAAACTATATTTAATAATTTAAGTTAGCGGTGCGCACTGCTGAGGAGTCCTATACTTGGATGAAACGGCTGTCCAGTGCTTCCAAATTTTCAGTAATGGTCTAACATTGATCGGTTCATGAGCTCAATAAAAAAAATTAGTTCGGGCGTTTCTTTCGGTCAAAAAACTGAAAGTATCAGTATGTTCACATCAATCATTCCCAACTACAATAGACATTTTGTCCTTCTGCTCACTTTTGGGAACATGTCGAATAGAAAAAAAAGATCACTTTACTTGAGCACAGCGTTAATCTGGTGCCTGGAGTTAATCAACAAGATCAGTTGAGAATTTAAAATAACTTATCATAAAATGTTCGAATTTTACTGATTAAACAACCGAACACTTTTTCGGTGTTTGTGATTTTAAAAGACCAAGAACTAACTTTTTCTTCACTTGTCATATTGTGTGAAAACATTAATAATAATAATTTCACTTTTCTCCAAACGTTACACATTAGAAGATAACACAAAAATGTATGAAATATAATTTCTACTTTAAAATACATAATTCTTAGATATGATCTCGATTCGTATTAAAGTGAAGTAGGGTTCAGTACAGTTGCATAATAGTTTAAAGTGAACAAACAAAACCACGATGTTAACCGTGAAGTGCGCTTTACGAAATTTTGTTTAAAAGACCGGTTAGTACAACATTTACATCTCAATCATTCGTAATGTTGAGAGTCTTTTATGATAAGTTGCTAGATAACTACACTGTTAAACGATAACAGTTAAGGCAGTATTTTATATAACCATATCCTTTGATAAACTTAAATTTATAAGAGGTTGTATATATGTACTTCGTCGATGGTTATCAAATTTCATTTCAATTTTATTTACATTTCAATTTACTTTTTCAACAAGTGCTCTGTGACCAGATATTTGAGTTGTAAAATGGATGTCCTACCCGATAGTCCTACCAAACAGTTCTATATTTTTCAGAATGGGGTTTGTGGAGATTTTATCGATTTTAATGGTTGAATTCATGGATCGATCTGATTGAAACCACTATTGAAAACCAGGAAGCACTGAGCGACCGTTTCGTTTTAGTATGGGACTTCTCAGCAGTGCGCATCCTTTTTTGTTCGAACCCAGGAACTTCGGTCTAGCTCTCGAACGCTTAACCACTAGACCGATGAACCGGCATCCAACGGTGTTAATGTCTAACTTCTATCGATCCATGAATGGCTGCGAAACCATTCATCCATTGTCTGAGGTAGATATCTATCCATAACCGTCACGGATTGAACTCCACTGGTTATGGCGTACGAGATCGTGGACGCGCACTGTTGAGCAGTCCCATGTTAGAACGAAACGGCCTTCCAGTGCTTTCAAGTTTCCGTTGGTGGTCTGGCTCACATCATCTCATGAATTCAACTTCTATATTTATTTATTAATTATCATGTTTGATATTTTTTATGAATTCTGTATGTTCTGTCGAAGATATACTTTGATAATTAGCCGTGTCATAAAAATATACAGGTACTATAATCTTTTAGATATAATCAAAACACAAAAATGTTAGTTATATATACATATTTAAATGACCATTTACTAAGAGATATTGTTTATCTGTTAGTGATTTATTTATTCGCAATTACTATGCATAAATAGCATTGGAAACTAAGCACATAGATAAATTAATTCAAATATAGTCAATCGATAAATTGATTGATTTGTTTGTATTGGTCACAGTGAGATAAATTTTTTGAATGGAATGTCCCAGTTTATATACTACTTACATAAATTAGTAGTTTTTTAAAAGTTACATATCTCTCTATATATATATATGTATATAATTGAATCTTTAAATATTTCATGAGCTAAAGGAGACAATTATTTTTAAAACAAAATTGTTTGAATAAAATCTATTTAAAATTTTATCACTTTTAAAATTAATTGGATTTGGAATCAATTATGTGAACGCCCCATAATTTATTCAATGATGAATAATTAGTTGACTGAACCCAATTTTATTTTATTATATCTGTTAGAATATATACATTACAAATAATTTTTATTGATTGTTATGGGATATAAATGATTATGTAATATCAATGGTTAAGATTATGAGTCAGTTGAAGCTAGACCACCATGGAAAACCTGCAAGCACTGGACGACAGACCACTGCTGAGAAGTCCCACAATAAAACGAAACGGCCATCCAGTGCTTCCAGATTTTCCATGGTGGTTTAAGTTTAATTGACTCATGATCTTAACCATTGAAATTATTACAATCTCCACAAAACCCATCTGATTATGTAATAGTTAGGTCAAATAAACCTAAAGAATATAGAATGTTCTTATTTGGTAACAATATATAATGTAGAAACTGAATTATTAGTATTATATTGTAGATTTTTTATTTTTTATGAAGTGAAATAGTGTGTGGTGAACGATGAAATAATAATTGAAATTTGTAGTTTATGATGAAAAATGATAAATATAGAACATTGAATTGAATTGTCAACATGATTTATGATTAGTTGATTACTTAAATTAGTAACTTCATCAAATATTTCCTTTATATAGAAGTGATTGTTTGTTAATTTACTTTATGACTGTAATAAATGTTAAGTGTATATTATTTATGGCTCATCCAGTACATAATTGTGTTTAATTTATGAATATAGTTATTTGTTTTGAGAATTAAATAACAAATTGATATTAGTTTGATCACTATTGGAAAATACAGACGCTCTGAACAACTGTTCTCTATTGATATAGGAGTTGCCAATAGTGTGCATTTACTATCTCACAACCATGGATTGAGCCTACACGTGACCTCTAGAGAGCTAACTTGGAATTCAATGGTGTACATATCTAACCTCAATCAATTCGTAAAAAATTTACCAATCTGCATAAACTTCCTACACTAACAGTAATCCTGTGATTTCTGGCGTTTAACTGACTAGTAGAGTTCGGTGAGACTATTATTTATGGATGACCATTGAGCGACGCCAAAATGACCTTGAGAGTGTCCACCTTATAACTAGGACCAAATGAGGATTATGAACCAATGTGATGAATTAGAATTATGTTTTACAATTGATGGCTACTGTTAGGAATTAGATTTAGGGCTTTCATCACGAAATGACATCAGCTATAATGCCAAAACTTTATTTAGCCAAATGAATGGGTGAATATCGCGCCAGAATTCGAGACCCGTTATACCTGATTGGTTCGTCCATAAATTATAGTCTCGCCATAGAGTTCATTAGTAATTCATCCCAGACAATGAAGATTATCGAACAATGTTATCAATAGGTTAAATTTAGACATTTGTACCACTGAACTCTCGCTCAATGATCTAAAGATTAGGGGTTCGAGAGTGGGACCGAAGTTCCCAAGGTTCAATCACCGGTTTTGAAGTAGTAAATACTCACTATTGAGGAGTCCTATATTGAGACAGAATAGATGCCCAAAGCTTGAGTATTTTCCGGCTATGCTGTAACTAAGAGCAGTTCTTAATTAATTTTATGAAAGTTTTATTCAATACAATTGGAGTACCTTTGGAATTTTTTTACTGAAAGACAACATAGTATTCACGAAGATATTCAGTAGTGTAATCATGAAGATTGATGTTACTTTTTCAAATTAAATATGTTTCTTATAAATATTAGATTGTTAGATCGAATTCGTAATCATCAGTTGTAATAAAGATTTTTAGTACTCTAAATAAATACTGAAAAAACTTGAGGTTCATATGATCATTGAAATGAATTATTATATATACCGCCGCTTTTTGTCTAACAGTACTTGGGAAATCGCCATAATTATTTCACATTTGAAATGTAGCTAGGGTTTATCACATAACAGTAATTTGACAATTAGGGCATTATGCCACTGTATAGTTAAAATTAATAGACCAATAACTGTAATAGATCTCATAGTTATTAGAGTGAGACACAACTAACAGATTAATCAATACTAATCCGATTCCTCATACT